TACATATACAAACTCATTGGTCCCGTGCTCGGTTGATCAAGAGGACAAGTATTGGCAATGCCGGACCCGACGTGACTTCCAAAAAAAAGACATGTAGAGACAGCGCGTGTAGGCATTATTGCACTACACACGACACTTGCTTGTTTGGGTATAAGTTTATTGCATTGTGCGCTACAAAAGCAGTTGGATCGATCAGTTGGAAAAGTCGTTTTGTAAAAATTGTCACGATGGTATAGTATGTGGCATGCAAGTATACAGGATAAGTGCTACCCATGTGTATATGCACAAGTACACATGTACACGCATTATTCCCGTGCAAAATTTCAAGTGCGATTCACATGTCTGATAAACATTCACAGCCACATGTGTTTATTTATGTGTTTATGTGTTTATGTTTATGTATGTATTTATGTGTTTATGTTTATGTATATGTATATATATGTGTATATATATGTGTAATAATGTGTAATATATGTGTGTATATGTGTATAAATATATGTGTATATGTATGTGTACATGTATGTGTATACGTAACATGGTGTGTTGAATACAAGTATACAGGGACAAATGTGTATATGTACAAATTACATTATAGTCTGCGTTCGTGAGTAACAAGCTGCTGCTTGGGAGTTACATGCACGTTTACAAGTACATGTACAGGCAAAAAAAAAATACGGCCTATACTTCGACATTACATGTACACATGAGTACGACATTTCATACAAGTATGTGCAAATTCAAAAAAATCCGTACGGTTCATTCCCATGCACATAAGCTTGTGTACACGAGTACAAAATTTCATTCAAGTATGATCAAAATTGAAAAAAAACCCCGTATGAATAGTTGTCACGATGCACAATCGGTACCTTTTATCTAAGCTTAACCCTCTCAGCATCTTTCGAAGGTTGCATGCTCGCTCACGCTGAGCCTCTTTCTTTGCGGATAATTTGGCCCATTCGCAGACAAATTCTTGGCTTTTACTATAGAACTGCACGACCTGTTTGGTGGTACATGTTCTGGGATTCTCATCATGTACGATACCTTGGCCACACCGTCTGTGCGTACGATTTTGTAGCCGGTTAATATTTCTTCGCCGACCTCGATTTTGCGCATTGTACACGCAAACAAAACTCCCATGGCCCCGTCCGTTGCGTTCGAGCACACAAGCTCAGTGTTGATATCGTGCTGTGATCGGCAGAGTTGATTACACGCGCCAGTTCGAACCATGGTGTATGTGTAAATTTAATGCATGAGTGTTGTATATGTATACGTATATGTGCGTGTATCGATGTAAATTTTAATGTATGTGTGTATGCATATGTATTTTTGTCTGTATAAATGTAAATCTTTAATGTGCGAGTGTATGTAAATGTATTTATGTGTGTAATAACGATTAATGTTTCAATTAGAAGCCGACTGAGAAGCTGGGCTTGTGTGATTGTTTTGTAAAACAAAAGGCACTAGTCTCCAAATCTACTTCTCTCGGTCGGCTTTTTGTGCATTTTTTGAAAAAATTATTGCACAGCTCCAAAGTCTCTCGGTCGGCTTTTTGTGCATTTTTTGAAAAAATTATTGCACAGCTCCAAAGTCTCTCGGTCGGCTTTTGTGCATTTTTTTGAAAATCCGTGCCCCGGTGTAGTCAACTTTAATCGTTATCACACACACAATCCGGCAGCGAGCACCGCACATAGTTTGGACCTATTGGCAATTATAGAGAATGGGTCGTACAATAATCTGGCCGACAAATTGGAGCCGTACATGGACAGCAAAAATCTCTTGGGTTACTCACGAACTTTGATACGAATAATGTATGCGAGAAACTGTAAATTCAGGACAAAATACTTCACATTAAATATTCACTTCATTGAGTATCAATTTGGCACTATGTGGCAAAGTTCTGTACACGGTAGCAATAGGGAGTGAAGTTGACACTGCGGCCAAGCAAAACACCGAAATCCATTTGGGGATCATGTTTTGGGGTGCGTTTGGCAGCTTTGCTCCGTAGCTTGAATATGACTATGCAACCAAAACGAGCCTTGGGTCCCGTGGGTGAGCTTCCTGTGAGAAAATTTGTACTGGTGTGCGAATTTTATCGTTTTTGCCCAGGGTCCGATTTCGGATGTCTCCAGCCCAGAGTAGAGCGTCTTCCCAGCAAGGACGAGGTATCCCGGAATCTAGAAGCATAAGGCGAATTATCCCGTTCAGGGCGTCGTGCAGTCTCTCGGCTTTGGCGTTCTGTGGTGGAGAATAAGGAGATGGACACCGGAGTTGGATACGGCGTTTTGATAGCATGTCTTTCATTTTCTGGCTGTAGAACGATCTGTCGATTGTCAGCTGTAAGAATGTCTAGCACTCAGAATGCTGGGACTTCAGTAAATAGACGGTCAATTTTAGTAAATATGTTTGTTTACTAGGGAGTGCTTTGTGAAAGTCGTAACGTATACTAGCATCAAACATGTTTAAGATGTATATGTTTTCGTAGCGACTAGGTGGCACCGGGCCTTGGAGGTCAGTATGAAATCTTTTGGCCGGGCGTAACTTTTAGTTTTCCTTCGAGGCATGTGTTACAGTGTTTCGAGAATTCTGGATTCGCTTTTGCGTAGGCAATTGCGAGGATAAGATCACGGACAAAGGATATGTGTGAATGCAGAGGGCCGAGGTCTACGACGATTGTATAGCCCAAGATCGTTTGCCGACAGATTGGGAACCATGACAAGAGAACGTTGTGACCGTGTTCTGGATAAGAAAAGGTTGGCTCTGGAGATGGGCCATGAAGACTGGACGGAGTGGTGCTAACTAGAACTAGCGCGCTACCAGCCTTCGTATTGACGGCAATGATATCTTTGATGAGGGACCAAGGTGGGCAAACATATGCAAGTTCTTGCAGGAGGTCGATATCTAACCAGTCAAAACCCTGGTGATACGTATCGTGGGAATTATGCGGTGGCTTTGGAAGCACACAGATCAATAATAGGTGTAACATCTAAATATTTAAAAGCGGCGCAAAGAAGTGCGGAATTAAACATTCATTCATCTGTTATCACATTGAGAGGAGAGGGATGTGTTGTTACTATGTTTTCATGTTTGGTCATTCGGAGCTTAACCCTGCAACTGCGGTGACCGGAGGATCTGTGATACGCGTCGTATGTCATGGTATGTCGGGCACGGGTAGTTTAAGAGACAAGGTGAGATGTTTAGGAGGTTTTCTGCGATGTTATGA